AATAATACAGCATGTATTCATTTATTTATACAGCAAATATCTATTGAACATCTATTATGTATACATGGCCTGCTTTCAGTGTGACAGAATATACAAAAAAAATTTATAAGACACAGTGAAGCACCGTAAAATCCAGTGGCAAACGCCAAGTATCTTAGCTAATTATTCAACCAGATAATGAGACACATAGCACTTAAAGTATGATTTGGACAAGTGGTTGACCAACTCAGAGAACTGTAGTCCATGGCCCTTTCTGTGACTGAAGCAGCCAAAGGTAGAAGAGGGAACCTAAGTCAAATTTGATACTTTTACCCAGAGCTGACCCTTGCTGCTCATCAAACCACAAATATTCATTGAATGTCCACTGTTTGCCAGGTAGCATACCAAGTGCTGTGGGAAAACTTCACATAAAGCACAGCCTTTGTCCTTAATGAAATGTCACACAGCAACACTTGAATAATTAGACACAGTAGCCTTGCGAATGCAGTTGAGGGGGTCTGTACTGGTCAGAAAAGTGTCTTGGAGAGGAATTGGAAGTGGGTCTCCGGGCAGAAGGGAGTCAGATCAGTGTTTCCTAAACTATGGATTTGCACACCTCTTGTGGTGAGAGAGATGATTTTAGGTAATAGGTAATGCTACACTGAAGAGGAGCTGAGGTGGGGTAAGGATGGAGAGAGGTAGTTTGGGGTACATGCAGCTTGCCTAGCTTCAACACATTGCCTGTGATACAATTGCATTGTAGCCCCTCAGCTAAAAAAACAACAACATCAAAACAAAGCAGAAAATGAGTTAGGATTTGTAATAAAAAATGCCTCTGGGACAACCAGGAGCCTTTTTGAGGATCATTCTGCTATGTCAGGTTACGGACCACCAGTGATTAAGAATTTCATTTTTCTAAACAATTATGTGGCAGGTAATTCATAGTTAAAGTTAAAAATATGAGTCAGCTAAAACAAACCTCTCAAGTAAACAATAAAGAGAGAAGGGATGTGGCCCCTTAGGGAACACAAAGCTTGGCGAGCAAAGCTTCTGTAACTGGCACATTAAAGGTGAGTTCCCAGGGAGAGCAAGGGCCACAGTGGATGTTGAGCTGAGTACTGGCCGATGGCTTAGAGAAGGGAAAGAAACGAGTCCAAAAGGCGGGTAAACAGGAGGAGTGGAGTCGGCACTGGGCTGCAGGCAAGGGGAAGGTGCTCCACCCTGCATCTTGAGGAAGCTCCTTGGCCTAGAGAGGAACCAGCAGAAAAGGCCCGAGTGCCCTGTTAAGAAGCCATTTAGCAGGACTTCCATCTCCATGATTTAGAAGGGCTCCAGCAAGAGAAAACATGGAGGCTCCAACGTACCTCCAGGTGCCCGGACATTGAGCCCTGAAAACAGGCAGGACAGCCCAGTCGGCATGGCTCAGTGGCTGAGCATCGACCTATGAACCAGGAGGTCACAGTTCGATTCCCAGTCAGGGCATAGGCTCGGTTTGCCAGCTCCATCTCCCGTGTGGGGCGTGCAGGAGGCAGCCAATCAATTATTCGCTCTCATTGATATTTCTATCTCTCTCCCCCTTCCTCTCTGAAATTAAAATATATATAAACAGGCAGGACAGAAATTTTACACTTCCTCCTAGTATAGAGATCTACGTGTTGTTTTCACAGAGAACGCATATGATGAGTAAAATGTGGAGGGAAAGTTGGAAGAGAGGGAAGATGGCAAACCAGGGTTCTTCCCATCTTCCGCTCCTCCCCTTCGTTGGTGTTTTAGTGCCTGATGGTGACTCAGCTGGTGCTTTTGTCCCCACAACTAGCTACGCTAAGTAGCTGGAGGGTTCTGATACTTTGCCCCTATCACTGCCACTGTGGTGGTACATGCCCTATATTATCCCTGGGACTGTAGTGGGCAGATTGCTGAAATGCACCACCCACTCCCTCCAATATCCCATGCCCTTACTCCTGGAACCTGCAAAAAGGAATGACATATCATCCCCATGGTTATGTTACCTTCTATGTCATAGTTGACCTTAAAATAAGTTATCTGGGGGTGGGTCTGATCTCATTACATGGGCCCTTAAAAGGACAGTTTTCTATTGCTGTGGAGACAACCTATTGATAGTCTACTGTGCTGCAGGCTGTTGGCAGAAGTAGAAGTCAGAGAAATTCAAAGCATGAAAAGGATTTGATGTGCCATTGCTGGCTTGTAGATGGGGCATGGGGCACATGACTAGGACCACAGCTGGCCTCTGAAAGCAGAGAGTGGCCCCTGGCAGACAGCCAGCAAGGAAACAGGGGCCTAAGTCCTGTACCCACAAGGAACTGAATTCTGCCAACAACAAACTGCACTTGGAAGCAGATTTTTCTCCCAGTTTCCAGATGAGAACTCAGACTTCCAGGCACCTAGATGTCAGCCATGTGATACTGTGAGCATTGAATTCAGCAACACCATGCTGGACTTCTGACCTACAGATAATATAAGCTAATAAATGGGTGTTGTTTTAAGCCACTAATGGTCATTTGTTGCACGGCAATAGGAAACTTACACAAACACTGTCACTGAATTAACCCTTCTCTAGATAGGCTGTGAGGTGGCCCTACAGCCTCGAGTGTAGCTGAGTATCCACTCTTCTCAATCCACAAAGACAAGTGGATCAATTCTCAAGCATTAGTAAAAAGGCCTGTGTTGTGTGTGATTATGTGGGGAGGGGAACCATGAGAAAAGATTGGAATTTCTGATATGTGAGGGACTTATATTTTCTTTTGCATAAAAAAGGAAATAAGCCCTAACCGGTTTGGCTCAGTGGATAGAGCATCGGCCTGCAGACTGAAGGGTCCTAGGTTTGATTCTGGTCAAGGGCATGTACCTGGGTTGCGGGCACATCCCCAGTGCGGGGGGTGCAGGAAGCAGCTGATCGATGTTTCTCTCTCATTGATCTTTCTAACTCTCTATCCCTCTCCCTTCCTCTCTGTGAAAAATCAATAAAATATTTTTTTTAAAAAAAAAAGGAAATAAGACATTAGTTTGAAGTAACAGATTGGTGAGACCTCACAATTGTGGGTGGGAGAATTTCTGGTAGCATATGGTGCCAGTCTCTGAAAAGGAAAGGCAGTGTTCTCTAGTGAAAAGAGGACGATCTCTAGGATAAGGTGGATATGAGTAGTATGCTTTGCAGATTGCTGGCTGTCTGACCATGGGCTTGTAGGAAATTTCTTTTTATTTGTTTGTTAATCCTCACCCAAGGATATTTTTCCATTGATTTTTTTTTTATAGAGAGAGAGTGGAAGAAAGAGGGAGAGACAGAGAGATAGAAACATCAATGTGATAGGACACATCAATTGGTTGCCTCCTGCACGTGCCCCAACCAGGGCAAGGGATTGAGCCTGTAACTGAGGTATGCGCCCTTGACGGAAATCAAACCCAGAACTGTTCAGTCCTCGGGCCGATGCTCTGTCCACTGAACCAAACTGGATAGGGCTGTGGGAAATTTCTTAACCTCCTTTGCGCCCCAGACTACTTATTTTAAAATAGCGCAGAATTGTTTTCACAGCTCCCTTGCAATGTTTTTAAAGCAAAAGTAACTAAATTATAGCATATACTGGACCAGAGCTATCCTATAGCAATATAATGCATGCCGCACATGTAATTAAAAATCTTCTAGGAGCCATATAAAAAAAGTAAAAATAAACACATGAAACAAATTGTAATAATATATTTTACATGACCCAATATATCAAAATATTGTCATCTCAACATGCAATCAATATCAAATAATATTGATATATTTTGCTTTTTATAACTAAGCCTTCAAAATTGTTTTTTTATACTTATAGCACATCTCAATTCAATATAGTCATGTTTCAAGAGCTCAAGAGCAACTAGTGGTTAGTGGCTATGGCACTGGACAGCCATGTCTAGTACATCTAAGTAAATATTTCAATACATTCTCCTTTACTCTTTGTTAATTATAAAACAAACATAATTAGGTGATAAATAGATAATTATGGATATATGAGAACACACATTCAAACACACCACTCTCTGGCACATACCAAACCCAAATGGTTTTCTTTTGTTTTGTTTTGTTTACCATCATTTAGTTATGGTGAGTCACACTTCAGTCCGGGGATCAGGGTATAAGTGGTACATGGGTTTCCAATTTCAAATTCCACAACATACCACAAATCAGAGCTACACAGCCAAAGTAAAGTAATACTAGGAACCATGATAGCTAGGTTAAACAAAAACCTATCTTGCACAAAAGAATACACATTAGTTTTTAAAGTAACTTTAGTAGAGGATTATATATTTATTTCCTTTGCTTTTCCTTTGAAGACATTGCACTAGATTTTTGGACTCTACATAAGCTTGTTTTTCCTTTCTAAGACAACATCTCCATTATGTGAGAATTAGGACTAAAGCAAACCAGGACTTGTGGGAAATAGGAGCAATATACAGCAGCCACATAAAGACTCACACAAAATCTGTGATACTTCTACTGGGATCTTCAAAGATGGCTCAGGCAGTGGTCTTGGACCGAGGGTGAATACGCTCAGGTAGAAAAAATAGGACACATCCAAAAATGTCTAACAAAAGGTGGAATAGTGAAAGAGATGCCAAAATGTATACAACAAATATCTGTAAGAACAGAATCCTTTCAGTGGGGATGAGGGAAGGTTTCCTAGAAAAGTGTCCTTTGTGAGAGGTTCTAAAGAATGGTCTTTAAAGTATGGCTCATAGAGCTTAATTCAACTCAACAGATATATGCTGCTTACCTACTGAGTGGCAGACCCCAACACAGGCAGTGGGGATTTACAACCTAGGCACCTAAACTGTTGGGATGGGGATGGAGAATGGTAAAAGACAAGTAAGCAAGACAAGGCTGTAGGATTTCAGCAGCTCTTTGCACCTCTGACATCCCTCTGCCTCTGAAGTCTTCCCAGGTTCTCCCTCTTGTACCCACAATGTCTTGCTTCTTCTCTGTTTCTGACCCCCATTTAGAATACAAATCTTGGCCTTACCTTGTTCTCAGGCCAGCCTGGCCTTGAGATGCATGTTTCATTCTCTGGCCTCTACCATGCAGCCACCAGCCCCTGCTCTAGCTCTAGGGCTAGTCAGGAAGCTGCTGAATCAAGATGCTGCCACCACAGCTTCCGGTCCCAGCATTACTCTAGTGTGAAGAGGAAGTTGGGCACAGTTTGCTGAGTATTATCATAGAGATAGTTCTAGGGCAGGGTCTTTAACTCAGCCTGTGGGGATCCAGAAAGGATTCCTAAAAGAGCAGGTGCTTGAGAGGAATTATCCAAAAATAAATGGAAGGATGAGATTCTTAGGCATTAAAGAAGAACATGTAAGAAATCAGGGAGAGATGAGAGTGTGATGCCCGTAGGGAACTGGAGGATGAGTAAAAGGGCTGGAGAAGGGTACACGTGGGAATGGAGAGGAAATGATGCTGGACCTGCAGAAAGAGACTAGGTCATGCTAAGGAGTGTGGCTTTATTTAGAAGATGACAATAAGTAGGCAGAAAGACAAAATGTACGAATGATGTTGATTTAATAATAAAGCTTATATGGACATATCATTAATGCATCATATATAACCTTTGAACTTAAAAATATTCTTGCTTCGATTACTTCCTTGAGAAGTTCCAGGTGGCATTCATTCATAAAGGGCAGTATGTGAAAAATTAAAATGGAATATAGTACCTACATGATTATTTCATGTTCATCTCTTTACTTTTAAGAAATCATCAGTATTGTAGAGATTAATTTCTTCCTAGTTAATTTTTCATTGATCTGAGCAGTTTTTTATTAACTAGGATTATCTTTTTATAAACAATAATGGCACACACAAAAGATTCAATGGGCTAACCGGTTTGGTTTGGTGGATAGAGCATTGGCCTGCAGACTGGAGGATCCCAGGTTCGATTCCAGTCAAGGGCATGTACCTTGGTTGTGGGCACATCCCCAGTAGGAGGCAGCTGATCAATGTTTCTCTCCCATCGATGTTTCTAACTCTCTATCCCTCTCCCTTCCTCTCTGTAAAAAATCAATAAAATATATTTTTTTAAAAAGATTAAATGGGCAATGTCAATTCCATGACTTATTCTGCTATTCATTTATTGTTTTCTAGACATTCTCCCCCCCCCCACCCCTTTTCTCTTGTTCTCAGACATAGAACTGCATATTCTACTCTAGGTTAAATCTAAAGAGAAAAATTATGAGAAATTCTTAGAAGAGGCATATGTCTTAAGAGAGAAAGAAAATTAACTTATTTGGGGGAGGGGGAGATTAACATTTTGATCATTTGACAAGTTAATGGGAATTTCTTAAATGCGGAAAAGTTGAACGTTTGTTTTGTTGTGTGTGTTTTTTAAATAATTACCTTTAGTATACGGCAGTGGTTGGCAAACTGTGGCTCGCGAGCCACATGCGGCTCTTTGGCCCCTTGAGTGTGGCCACGAAGTTTCAATCGCACTGTACGTGCGCGCCCGCACGTGGCATTTTGTGGAAGAGCCACACTCAAGGGGCCGCAGTTTGCCGACCACTGGTATAAGGAATGAGCTCTACAGCGACATAATGGTTTAGAAAGGTGAAAAGGACTAAGGGGGCTAATTACAGTTTCTTGCTCCAGCAAGACCTTCCTAACATATTCTTTTGCCCAGCAAGAAATAATTTCAATTCTAATTTTGTATTCCATTAACTGATAAATTGTGAATCAATAATACAGATATACAAAATATTAAAATAAGTCATGTATTTGTTAAGAATTCTGATAAATAGCTATAGTGTTATTCCCTGTTCGTATGGAATATAATACAATAATTAATAAATAATAATAATACAAGAACAAACTCTGTGTTTCACATATTCACAACTATAAACCTACTTTCTCCCACCCCTGTATCTTCACTTACTTTTACATAGTTTTATTACATCTATATGCATTTTTAAAATACATTTTTTAAATTAATGGACTTTTTAAAGTAGTTTTAGGTTCACAAAAAATTGGGTGGGAGATACAGAGAATTACCATATAGCCCTCATCCTTCACCCCAAAGTTCCCCTATTATTAACATCTCACATTAGTGTGGTATATTTGTTATAATTTATATTTTTAACAAAGTTTTAAACTTTCTTTTAAAGAAGTCTTGAATATCTTCTGTTAGATTATTCCTAGAGGCTTGATCGTCTCTAATTTACTGTAAATAGTTTCTTCTGTTTAATTATATTTTCTAGCTGTTTAGTGTTAGTATAGGAATAAAACTGACTTTGTCTTACATTGGATATTTTGTTACTTGGTAGATTATTTTGGGTTTTCTTTGTAAACAATATCTACCACAAATAATGACCATTTTATTTCTTTCTCACCAAACCTTATGCCTATACACTGGTTAGGACCTCTAATGTAAGATTTAATAGAAAAGATAATAGAGGAATCTTTGTCTCATTCTTGTTTTTAATGGGAATGCTTCTAATATTTTCCCCCTTAAAATGATTTTTGCTGGCTCTGTCCGGGTAGCTCAGTTGATTACAGCATCATCCCGATATGCCACGGCTGTGGGTTCGATCCCTGGTCAGGGCACATACATACACGAATCAACCAACATATGCATAAATATGTGGAACAACAAGGTTTCTCTCTCTCCATTCATCTCTCTAAAATCAATAAATTTTTTAAAATGATGTTTGTTTTAGGTTATCTACAGATAACTCTTAATCACATTAAGGAAGATGAGAAAGTAGATCCAAAATATAAATAAATAGTGTCCTCAAAGATATGAACCCTTCCCCCAGAAAGGATCAACTTATGTATTTAAAGACACAAATCAAGAAAAGTTTTTCTCCATATAAAAAGTAACTTGACTCTACTATGAACTAACCAACATGAAAAATATCCTAGCAAGAAACTTATTGAGCATCAAAGATAAAGAAAACTCTACTTTTCCAGGCAAAAGATTGTCAAAGTTTGTGTTTCATATTTCTTCATAGCCCTGATTAGAAGTCAGTAGAATAATGTCCTCAAAAAACTCTAAGTCCTCAAGGATAGAATGTATGACTCAAGAATTTTATACTCAGTAAATTGCTTCTCAGTTATAAGAGCAATATAAGTACAATTCTGAATATGGAAGAATTCAGGGAATATAATTCCCATGAGTTCTTCATTTTCAGTCAACTGAGAGGTAAATGAGGAAACTATAGCAAAAGGATAAAGTATGCAATATTAAATTCTTTTAACCCGGAGAATAGAATAAAATTAAATCAGGTTTGTGGTTAAAACGTAAATGTCATAAGTTCTGCTGTTAAAGAAATTTTACTGTTAACAAAAGCTGGTGCAGGAAGAAAAAAGGTAAAGGCTCAGATAATATATATAAGAAAATTCATTTGGTATTGGAAGTTTAAAAAAATCCCTCCAGGTGATTCTAATATACAGCAAAATTTAGGAACCACTGCAGTATGAGACTAATGACGGTTACTCTCCTGTTTAAGCCTCAGTTGTCCATAGTAAGTATACCAAACACTGCTGACTTCTACCAATGTCAGGACTGTTGAACAAGGAAACAGCAGTGGACAAGAATCTATATATTAAATCTTGTATGAGAAAACCAAGTGTTTTTCTTCTTCTTGGTATAACACATTGTTTCAACGTACAGTCTTGGGAAAAACAGGTTGTTCTTGACCACCAATCTGGATAATGGTTATAGATGTCACCCACGAGGGTACAATGAATAAACGCAATCAGCATGCCCTGCTCCTGGAACATCCATATCAATCATGGAGACTGACGGAAGAACTGTAAGCTCAGTACAGACCAAAAAACAAATACATTAGAAAATAAACATATAAAAAAAACCCCAAATAGAAATAACTACTATAAGCTTTGGCATCCAGCAAATTTGAGAATGCTTGGGGTCTTTTCCTTGGGAGAAGAGGAGTTGGGAACTGACATAAACCTTGTCCTTTCTTTCCTATTCCCATAATTTTCATATTCCATTCTGGGTTTTTCCCATCAGCCTATTTGCTTGTCTGTAGTTTTTTGCTCCACAGAAGCAGCGAGATATATTCCAGGCTTTCGTATCAGCCTATCGGGCTGCTTGCAATTCTGAGCCATTGGTAGCCAATATCTTGGCTTTTCTTTGACATTTTCTCTGTACACTATAGGAACAGCTCCTGCTGTCCCTTATTATGGTCCCTGCCCACCCCACCCCACCCACCTCATAATTTTGAGTCCCTAGCTTTAGCCATAAATAATACACATTCACTTTGATTGCTTTTCTGGTGGGAAAACTACCTGGAGTTTCCTTTTTCCAATGAATCTGCTGTTCTGCAGAGGGATCTGCTTATTTTAGGTTTTGAGGACCAGTAGATCTTGCGGCTGTGACCTAACCTCTCCAGGCTGGGAGCAGATTCCTCAGGAGCTTCTCTTGATCTTGGGAGCATGGAACCCTGTGGCCACCCTACTCACTTCTGGGTTAGCAGACACCTTGGCCTTACCCCTCTGGGCTTTAGACACCTTTTCAATTTTTTAAAATGTTCTTTGTGTGCTTGAAATGAGTATGTTTTCTGCAGGGGTGAATACAGTTTTCACCATATGTACTTGAAGTCAAACTTGCTAATCACATTGTTTAGATCTTCTTTACCTTTTTCATTTTTTTAAGTCTGTTTATTATATCAATATTGAAAGAGGTGTGTTCTTATCACCCACTATGGTTATACTTTTGTCTAATTCTACTTGTACTTATGTCAATTTTTGCATTTTATTTATTTATTTTTAAATATATTTTTTAATTGACTTTAGAGAGAAAGAGGAAGGGAGGGGGAGTTAGAAACATTGATGAAAGAAAATCATTGATTGGCTGCCTTCTGCATGTCCCCTACTGGGGACTGACCCTGCAACCTAGGCATGTGCCCTGCCTGGAAATCAACCAGGGACCGCTTGGTACATAGGATGAAATTTATATCTCTGTGGTGAATTGGAACGGGACCTTTCATCATTATGAAATATTTATCTATCTCTAGTAGTATTAGAGCCTGATATTATTA